ACATGTCCTCTATTGTTGATGTTGCTTTATCTGATCACCACTGTGGATTTTTTACTACCTTGTTGCCCATAGCAACACAGGGTAATACTGAACGCATGATTAAGAAACGCTATCTTACATCTGAAGACTTTATTGAGTGTTTGAACAATACTCCACCACCTATTCTGCCTTCCTCTTTGATGATTTAGCTGATAACTTTAATAACAAACTAAGGGCAACCATTGATGCCATAGTTGAAAAAGGCCACATCCAAATGAAGGGCCCCTTGGATGAGTGAGGAAACTAATAAATTAAAGATTGATTGCAGAAAGGCAGAGCAGAAGTGGAGAAAGTCAAAGTTGCAGGTCCATTATGATATTCTGAAAGAGCAACTTGGCATATATAACAAGGCAATTAGAAATGCCAGAAGGGCTCATTTTTATAACTTGATCACTATTAATCAGAATAATTGGAGAGTGCTCTTCTCGACCATTGATGGCCTGATAAATCCTAACCCCTCAAACCTACGTGAACTTTCCTCCACATCTAAATATGATGAGTTTGCGACATATTTCAGAGATAAGATAACCAACATTAGGCTGGGTTTCAGTCAAGCAAGACCTGATGAGAAGTTTGATCCTATCCCCACCACCTTCTTCAAAACTGTTTTAATTGCATATCTGAAGAAGTGCAAGCTATTAATAATATAATTCCCTGTTCACAGGCACTTTCCCCACTGCACTAAAAACTGCTATGGTGAAACCCCTTCTGAAGAAAAGTAATCTAGATTTTTCAGTTCTTAGACATTTTCAGCAAATCTCCAACCTTACATCCTTAAGCAAAATCCTGGAGAAATTGGTTTTCAAACAGCTAAATTATATATATATATATATATATATATTTTTTAAAGTACCAACTGTATTTTTGAAATATTCCAATCTGGTTTTCGTGCCCACCACAGCACAGAGACAGCCCTAGTTAAAGTGATACATTATCTTAGAGCCAACACAGATGCCAAACCGGTCAAGAGTTTTTTGTCACCCTTGGTGAACATAACTCAGAGAAAATTCATATCACACGTGGCGTTCCACAAGGTTCGATTTTGGGTCCGGCACGGTTCAGTTTATATAGGTTACCTGTTGGTAGCGTGACCAGAAAGCACAGCATTGATTTTTGCTGCTACGCAGATGACACACATCTTCTGTGTCACCAGAGGATTTTAGCTCTGCGGATAACTTATCAGACTGTATTCCTGATTTAAATACTTGGATGGCTCACAACTTCCTCCAGCTAAATCAAGACAAGACCGAGGTACTTATTGTTGGAGCCAAAGCACAGAGAGAGAATCTGGACACACATTTAAATTCACAGGCAGTAAACATAAAACACCAGGTAATTTTAAGTTCTGAACTAAATTTCGAATCACACATTAGGAGGAATGTGACCAAAATAGCTTTTTACCACCTGAGGAACATTGCCAAGGTGCGGCCGTTTCTCTCTCAGGCTGATACAGAGAGACTCATCCATGCTTTTATTACAAGCAGGCTTGACTACTGTAACGCTCTCCCGTCTGGTCTAGCCAAGAAAGCCATTGGTCAACTGCCAAACATACAGAATGTTGCAGCACGGGTACTGACCAAGACCAGACAGACAGCACAAATTACATCGGTATTAAGGTCTCTGCACTGGCTGCCTGTGAGTCTTCAATTGGTTTTTAAATCAATCCACGATTGTGCACCCTAATACATGTCAGACATGCTTTTAAGTTATGCACCCAGTAGGTCCCTCAGGTTTTTTTATTTTATTTATTTTTTCCTGTGAAGCACATTGCGTTGCATTCCATGTCTGAAATGTGCTGTATAACTAAAGCTTGATTTGATTATAGACTAAACCAACCAATCAATGCTGCACCTACAGCGAACCAGAGAGAAAACAGTCCTACTCCTTGTTTTGGAGACGGGGTCAGACGAGGAAGCAGACACGAGAGGAAACAGACACAGATACCACAGGCATTTTAAATCCAATGGGGGGGCACAACTAGTACTGATTCAGAGCCCTACTAACAGGGCCACTGTATTGCCAGGTCTAAATGAGGAAATTGATTATTCTTCCTTCCTGTAAGAGATCTGTGTTTGATCTTTTGTTTTTGTGTTCTCCATTTTTTGTTCTCCATTTTATGTTCTCAATTTTTTGTTCTCCATTCTTAAGTTTAGTAACATGAGTTCATGTGTACACAGTTTGTATTTTCCTTTGATGACATTGCATTTCTTTTGTGGTGTTGCATTCTCTGTGAAGTGTGCAACGACTCAATTTGCCCTTTGCACTCCTTCGAAACAACAAAATAAATTCCAACTTCGGCAAAGGGTCGAATCTACAAAACGTATCCACTCTGTTCGTTAACAGATTCTAGTTTTGGGAACAGAAAACTGTATTGAGGGCCTCCTGAGTGGCGCAGAGGTCAAAGGCGCTGCATTGCAGTGCTAGAGGCGTCACTACAGACCCGGGTTCAATCCCAGGCTGTGTCGCAGCCGGCCGCGACCGGGAGACCCATGAGGTGGCACACAATTGCCGGGCACATGCGCGCTGACACGTTCACCAGTTGTACAGTGTTTCCTCCGACACATTGGTGCGGCCGGCTTCCAGGTTAAGCAAGCAGTGCGGCTTGGCAGGGTCGTGTTACGGAGGACGCATTGGCTCTCGACCTTTGCACGGGAGTTGCAGCGATGGGACAAGACTGTAACTACCAATTGGGGAGAAAAAGGGGTAAAAAAGTATAAAAAAAAACGGTATTGAGATCAAATGTTTAATCAAATGAGGAAAATCAGCATAAAGTCGGCCAAAATCCATCTCCGGCCACTGGGCTTCTTCTCATCACCATATTTGGTAGTGAGTGGAAAAGCCAACCGGACGCTTCACACTTATACATCTGGTGAAATACCTGGCTCATTGTTCCATCTGTGACTGTAGTCTATTCCCACTGCTAGGTAAGGACAGTGATAGCAAGCTAATAAATCCTCAACTACATAATATTTTTCACACTTTGACTAGAAATAAAAGTTACTGCAGATCCTTCATTATTTGTAAACAAGGAAGTTTTTTGAAAAGTGAAAAGGAGGTGTCATCTTCCCAACCAATCAGTAACCAGTACAGGACACCAACTTCCACCCCGGTCAAGGGGAGTGGAGTTCATAGGAATTAGAACACTAGAATGGTCAACCATGGTTTGACAATGCTGCGATAAGATATAGGAGTACCACAGTATGAGTCATAATACCCATAAAACCTAGCGGTCAAACAGGAAAATGGTTCCAATCGTTTCTCCACCATTCATTTTTCCCCATAGAGGATTTTAGAAACACTTAAAATAAGGGCTGTGTTTCGTGTAGGCTTACCCTGGGGTGACGTTTTGATAACCGTGTAAATCTCTCTAGGAGAAGGTGAATTTTATCAATATATTTGTCTGTATTTACCCCCCAAAAAATTTATGCAAATTAGCTGCTAATTTGGCTATCATAAAGAACTACAAATGCCATGATGATCTAGACGAGACTGCCAAATCGAGATAATGGGAAGAATATCTGGATGAACTATCGAATGTTAGCTAAATGTAGTAATGAATAAATTGGCAACATTTTTTTTTATGTAAGTGTTTCTAAAATGGAGGTAATGGGAAAGATGAATGGTGGAAAAATGAACGGTGATTATGAGACCTCCACTGTGGGTCTCTAGTGTAAAACAATGAATGGGAAGAATGTATCTGCACTGTATGTGTATTAGCTAACTAGCCAGACACTTTTAGAGGCATGATTCCATACATTTTTCTAATTAACTGCCACTATGCAGTCAATCCACAGCCATACACTGGCACAAAACAGTTGATGATAGTACTGATATTGTATCATATAATAAAATGGCACTCAGAGCTTTTCAAGAAAACAAAATCGGATACATTTATGGTCTGTTTAGATATATTTTAGAGGCTATTTACACAGAAAATGTGTATAAAACCTATATAAACTGTATTTATAATTCCATTACACAATTGCTGATAAATCACACCATATTTGTTTTGTCATGCATCAGTAAAAGCAGGAAATGCATCACCTCTGCCTCTACTGCCATTCATTCCAATTAGACTGGTTTCGGATTTCTCTCTGATCAAGATGGCTGCCATTTCCACCCCATTATTATTTACCTTTGAGGGTTTGACATAGTAATTTAATAAGGATCTCTATGGTGAAGTTTCACTTTAACACGCTGGATTGCAGCGTTCAGCAAAATACACAGACCAAAGATTCTTACAATTTGTGCATGGTCAGTGCTATCCGGGGTCCTTGGGACATCCCTAACCCATTGAAGTTGAAATTCTAAAATGGTTGGTAAGGGTTTCGGTAATGGTAAGGGTAGTGGTTAGGGTAGGGACGTCCCAAGGATCCCAGATAGCACTGACCATCTGTGCATACACAGCACAGTAAATTAGATTTTGAAGTGTAGCTTTAACAATGACACACTTTAGTTGACATATATTCTTCACTATTCCTGTAGACATATAGTTGCTTAATTGAGAGAGAAAAAAACAGCAGTATTAAAATCAGAAGACTAGGAGAGGGTTCGTATTCAGCACAAAAGGTTCAAATATGTTTGAGGATAATTGCACTTCAGTGTGTTGAATTAGGTGGTCAGAGAAGAGAAACATTGATCATGATAAGGCAAAATGTACTAGATACTTCATACCATCAGATCAGTAAGAAAATTCCTCAAACATAATTTTGAATGCACCAATTTGTAAGTCGCTCTGTATAAGAGCGTCTGCTAAATGACGTAAATGTAAAATAATTTCACCACAAATATACTCAACTCATCAATTATTTGGTAAGGCATTGACATCAAAGCATATCATCACCAAGCACACAGATGGGATATTGATGTATCTGCTTCATTGTATTTCTTTAATACCCCCCCCCCCTCCTCCTCCTCCTCCTCCTCCCTCCAAGTGGAATACCCCATTTCCTATATAGCTCCTAAGGGGAGCAGTAGCGACCGTAGAACAGAATGCTCTGGGTGGGGTTATGGCGGATGAAGAAGAGGAAGGGGTGGTCGGCGACGAATACGGGCATCCTCAAAGCACAGCGATTCACCATGATGGCGGCTGTGGCTCCCGCCGCCTCTGTGCCCTCCTCGTTGACCTCCACGAAGGCCTTGTGCACCACCTTGGACAGCACCAGGTCGTCGCTGGGCGACATGCCCGAGAAGTCGCCCTTGGAGTGGTCGAAGGCGTCCGTCATGCCCATGCTGACCAGCAAGCCCTTCAGGTCCAGGCTCTCCTCCAGCTTGAACTTGGGCAGGCCCACCTGAACCTCCCCCGTGTCCATCATGTCGGGCCTGGTCCACTCCACAAAGTTCTCGTAGGTCAGCAGCTTCTCCAGCTGTGTTGGGGGGCAGGAGACTAAGTCATGACTTTGACACCTCTAAAGTATGAAAATGACAGACTGATTTGGCTGTGAGCTAACCCTCTGAGAACCTCTGTGATGACCACAATGCTGTTATGCAGACGCAAATGCAGGTATTTGACGTGCAGTTAACGGTTTATTGTGTAGGCCACAAACCCATGTTGCTGACAACTGTGAGTGCAAACGAGTCCTACCTTCTCCAGCCCAGTGGTGTTGTCCTCCATGTCGTTGGGTAGCATGATGAGCATGCTCAGTTCCTTCCCTACATAGGGCAGCTCCAGGATCTGGCAGCTGGCCTCAGGGATGAAGGTCAGGGGGAACTTGGACTTCTGGTGCATCATTTTCACTGGCTTACTCTCATTCTGGATCCAATGAAAGGAAAGGTGGGGGGGGGGGGGGGGGGGGGGGGGGGGGGGGGGGGGGGTCACACTTTTTTCAAAACAGTTGCCTTCTCTTGAGTTACTTTTGTGACAACACAATCATTTCACCATGGTGGCAAAAGTTACTCATCGATTGTCATGAAAGTGAAGCAAGCTACAAATGTTCCTGACACATTGTTATTGGACTGAGAGTTTCATCAGGGGAGGGACGACCAACAGACTACAGTAACAGTTGCATAAGAAAGGTCCAGGCCTCCCGGGTGGCGCAGCGGTCTAAGGCACTGCATCGCAGTGCTTGACGCGTCACTACAGCCCCGGGTTCGATACCAGGCTGTGTCACAGCCGGCCGTGACCGGGAGACCCATGAGGCGACGCACAATTGGCCCAGCGTCGTCCCGGTTAGGGGAGGGTTTGGCCGGACAGGATGTCCTTCTCCCATCGCGCTCTAGCGACCCCTGGTGGCGGGCCGAGCACCAGCAAGCTGACTTCGGTCGCCAGTTGGACGGTGTTTCCTCTGACACATTGGTGCGGCTGGCTTCCGGGTTAAGCGAGCACTGTGTCAAGAAGCAGTGCGGCTTGGCAGTGTCATGTTCCGTTGGACGCATGGCTCTCGAACTTCGCCTCTCCCGAGTCCGTAGGGGAGTTGCAGCAATGGGACAAGACTGTAAATACCAATTTGATATCCAGTAATAATTGAACAGAAAGGTTATGCAGTTCGGTGAAAGTCAGCTCTTCTGCTTTAGAAGCGCTGCTCTAAAGACTCATGATGAGTGATCACCAGTGGTGTAACTACATGTTCACTGCGCAGACATTAGAACAATCGGTTCCGTTTGCCAAGCTGGTTGGTACCTTGTTCAGTTTGAACTGGGCATCGCTGGTGCTGCTCTCCTTGAACTTCTTCTCCCAGTTGCCTTTGAAGTAGATGGCGTTCACCAACACCAGTCTGGTCAGGTGGTCGACAACCCCCTCCGCCAACAGGTCCTTGATTTTCTCTACAAAATACAGAGATAATTAGTTACGGTGATAGTTACTTTCTTACTACGCCTTGTTACAATGTAACAAAACACAGCAGATACATCATTGACACCTAATGGATGAAATCAATTCATTCTCAATCTAGTGGTCCCTTAGATTTTAACACCGAATTTGAGAATATTTAGCATTAAACATTTCAGTGAATAATATCATGAATACATAGGCTGTTGATAAACAGAGTTAATGCTATTGTGCACATGGAGACAACGTTCGGCCTCTATTCACCAGCGGTCTGCTTCTCCACCCAGGCGTTGATGTTCTTTCTGGTAGTCTCCGCATTGGACTTGAAGTCCACAGACTCCAGCTCAGCATTGTAGTGTTTCTTGGTGTCGCCGAGGAAAGTCTGTCACATTTACCAGAGACACATCGATTAAGACAGTCAACATCCTAGCTTTATCAACCCCTTAGTACCTAAAATAAGAGTCTAGTCTACAACAGACAGTTTGTACAGTTATAATCATAGAATGTATAGAACATACTGGAAAATGCTAGTGTTGTGTATCTTTTTGCTGACAACTTGTCAGCATTAGGCCATTTTCCAATGAAATGCATAATGACCTTTCACCTCCTAATACACTGAGTCATTGGGGTCAATTCAGATTGAGCAAAAATATCCAATTTGAGACAAACACTTACTCCACCCACTGTACATTGTGGACGTTACCTCAACAAACTGGTAAGACTGCTCTCCGTACAGGCGATTGGCCAGGCTCAGTGCGTACGGGGCTCCCTCCTTGTTCAGTTCACTCATGAGTTTGCTGAAGCCGACATGGACGTCATCCGTAGCTTTGTGGAGGTGCAGGGACTGCAGACAGGAATAGAAAAATACATCATGTGACATTGTGGTAGCATCTTCCTATGACATCATCAATTTCTGTCGTTTTGACATTTTTGTGGGGTTGGACAAGCCCAGATTACGTTCATGTTGCTTTCAAACTGATAAGAAATTATTGGTTTGTAACCAGACTTTCCTGTTTCCGTTTTTTTTGTTATTTTTATATAAACTGTTTATCAAGGGTTATAAATAACGACACGTTGAAACAGAGAAGAAGAAGAGAGAAGAAGAAACCTGATAGAAGAGAAAATAGGTACTACTACTACTACTGCTTCTGCTTCTGCTACTAGTAGTACTACTGCTAGTACTGCTACTACTACTACTACTACTACTACTACTACTGCTTCTGCTACTAGTAGTACTACTGCCACTAGTACTTACACATTTACATTTTTACATTTTAGTCATTTAGCAGACGCTCTCATCCAGAGCGATTTACAGGAGCAATTAGGATTAAGTGCCTTGCTCAAGGGCACCGACAGATTTTTTCACCTAGTCGGCTCGGGGATTAGAACCAGCGACCTTTCGGTTACTGGCACTACGCTCTTAACCACTAAGCTACCTTATTGTATAGGCTATACTATAGGATGATTTATGTATGGGGCTAATATCCCTTATACACATAAATAAACCACATAGAAGAAAGAAAACACCAACCCATGTGACTCATGAATACAACCCTGGTGGGAACAAGGTACTACTGTTGTTCCCACCAGGGGTGTATTCATGAGTCACACACCGTAGCAAAACGTTTGGTCTGTTGCAATGGAAACCGTTTACTCCAAACGGAAAACGCTTTGCAAAGTAAACAAGTTTCTATTGGGGCAAATTCAGGTAGGTAGGTCCCTCCCCGTTTCAGAAAGTTTCGCAACAGTCCAAACATTTTACTACAATCTGCGACTAATGAATACACCCCAGTTGACTACCTCACCAACAGCCCAACGGTATCAGGCAGCAAACACCCTTTGACCCCCCCTAGGTTACTCATTCCTTACTATATACAGGTATTAGCACCTTCATCAGAACCAGTGGAAGCTGGGGCTTTGTACTTGCTGGAGTAGTCCTGGGTTAAGGTGTCAGAATGCTTCCCGTCCGGAACAGTTTCTGCATATATTAAAATGATAACATCTTGTTCGTTTTGGTCTTTGGTAAGGTTTTTTTTCGGCTGTTCATGCACACAAAATGTTTTCTTGAGGCAAGCCGAAGTTTGGTAGTCGAAGTTTGGCCCCTTCGTCGGTGATTGGTCAACAGTAGGGATTCTTCAATGAAGTGTTTGTTGCCATTCAACGAGAGAAGACTCGTTTTCATGCAGGTTCTCATTTGAGAAAGCGTATACAAGCTACTAGAGCTGGGAATTACCAGGGACCTCACCATACCATATTATAACCATACTGAGGGACCTCACCATACCATATTATCACTATACTGAGGGACCTCACCATACCATATTATCACCATACTGAGGGACCTCACCATACCATATTATCACCATACTGAGGGACCTCACCATACCATATTATCACCATACTGAGGGACCTCACCATACCATATTATCACCATACTGAGGGACCTCACCATACCATATTACCACCATACTGAGGGACCTCACCATACCATATTATCACCATACTGAGGGACCTCACCATACCATATTATCACCATACTGAGGGACCTCACCATACCATATTACCACCATACTGAGGGACCTCACCATACCATCACCACACTGAGGGACCTCACCATACCATATTATCACCATACTGAGGGACCTCACCATACCATATTATCACCATACTGAGGGACCTCACCATACCATATTATCACCACACTGAGGGACCTCACCATACCATATTATCACCATACTGGGGGACCTCACCATACCATATAATCACCACACTGAGGGACCTCACCATACCATATTATCACCATACTGGGGGACCTCACCATACCATATTATCACCACACTGAGGGACCTCACCATACCGTATTATCACCATACTGAGGGACCTCACCATACCATATTATCACCACACTGAGGGACCTCACCATACGAAATTACCACCATACTTAGGTGCCGATACAATATCTATTGTGATTCTCATGATTCTATATGTATTGCGATTCGATACTGTAATTTTATTGCGAGTCGATGTTCCAAACATATTGCTCAACATACTGTATGTCTGCTACAGAGGGACTAGAGAAAACAAGTTTTGATCAGTCATGGAAATAAAAGTGCTGAAAACAAAATTAGCTCCCTATTTAAAAAGACAGAAACATTTACATCATTTAGCAGACACTCTTATCCAGAGCGACTTACAAATTGGTGCTTTGAACTTATGATAGCCAGTGGGACAACCACTTGTTTTTTTTTTGTTTTTTTTAATGGGGGGGAATGATTACTTTTATACTATCCCAGGTATTCCTTAAAGAGGTGGGGTTTCAAGTGTCTCCGGAAGGTGGTCAGTGACTCCGCTGTCCTGGCGTCGTGGGGGAGCTTGTTCCACCATTGGGGTGCCAGAGCAGCGAATAGCTTTGACTGGGCTGAGCGGGAACTGTGCTTCCGCAGAGGTAGGGGGACCAGCAGGCCAGAGGTGGATGAACGTAGTGCCCTCGTTTGGGTGTAGGGACTGATCAGAGCCTGAAGGGTAAGGAGGTGCCGTTCCCCTCACAGCTCCGTAGGCAAGCACCATGGTCTTGTAGTAGATGCAAGCCTCAACTGGAAGCCAGTGGAGTGGGCGGAGGAGCGGGGTGACATGAGAGAACTTGGGAAGGTTGAACAAGCTATGAAGGAAAAACACTGGAGTTTTGTTGCAGGCATAGCCAACTAGCGCTAAAATAATATTGCGATATTGTTGATACGATACATCGTCAAAAATAATATCCCGAAATGTAACTGTATATATTTTTTGCCCATTACTACGGCATCTCAAGATGGACAAGCTTTTTTCTAGTTTTTCAAGCAAAGGTCTTTTTAAAAAGGGAGTGTGCGAGCACACTCGTTCGGTTGGCTTTAGCCTCTTTAGGTTTGTCTGCTTTGGTAAAGCAGAGACCTAGAGGATGTCAGTGAGACAATCATTTATGAACGGCATAGAAGTGCGGAGTGGGTGGAATATGACACTGTGTGTGTGTGTGTGTGTGTCTGGAGAGCTGAGTAGGCTACAGAAATAATCATTTAAAAAATGTAGTGCGTTACACCATGAGCGTTGAGTCCTTGACAGGAAATTGAGACCACCCCTGCCATATTTGTTCTGTGAACATTACTCAAAAGGAAGGCATCCCCATTAGTGTCCCACCCTCATTTACTCGAGACTCTCCCATTTTATGACTTCAACTTTACCCTACTGCTCTTGCTTGCTTCACTACAGGTAGTGATTGCCTATATGCTCAGTCCATGCAAAGAAGCTTTTGTTCCGTTTGTTCGTGTCAGGGCCTCGCCCCCCTGATAACGCAACCGTTTTTCTGTCATAACTACTAGCTATAGCCTAAAACAAATAGGTGGAGCGGAGAGCCTGATAAGAGATATTACTTTACAATATAGACACCTTTATTTATACCACTCCATGTTGCCACAGTAAAAGGCTGTCCTCAAATAAAAAACCTCAGTTGAGCCAGAACATATCTGATGACTACAAGGACATCTTCTGTGAGTCACCGTGGATAGGTTACCCGTGTCAGCCACACCCATTCCTATTCATCACAGAACACCCCCTGTGAAAAACCTTTCCAGTGAAAGAACCCATTTAGAGCCTTTTTAAATTGACGAAAGTTGAGACAACATAGGGTGAGTGGAACTGTTAATTAAATGAACCTTAGTTAACATTACAGAGGATGATATGACAAAAACTAAAAGGCTAGCCTCCATTATCCAATCTGTCGCTAGTGAACAGTCCATCAAACTATTTGATCAAAAACACTGAACAAAAATATAAAACGCATCATGTAAAAAATCCCAGACATTTTCCATATGGAAAGAAATATTATTTATTTAAAAATGTTGTGCACAAATTTATTTTTATCCCTGTTAGTGAGCATTTCTCCTTTGCCACCTGACAGGTGTGGCATATCAAGAAGCTGATTAAACAGCATGATCATTACACAGGTGCACCTTGTGCTGGGGACAATAAAAAGGCCACTAAAATGTGCAGTTTTGTCACAACACAATGTCACAGATGTCTCAAATCGAGGGAATTAGTATGCCGACTGTTGCCAGATAATTGAATGCCAACTGGCCTCACAACCACAGAACACGTGTAACCACGCCAGCCCAGGACCTCCACATCCAGCTTCTTCACCTGCGGGATCATCTGAGACCAGCCACCCGGACAGCTGATGAAACTGTGGGTTTGCACAAGCCACCCGGACAGCTGATGAAACTGTGGGTTTGCACAACCAAAGCATTTCTGCACAAACTGTCAGAAACCGTCTCAAGGAAGCTCATCTGCGTGCTTGTCGTCCTCACCAGGGTCTTGACCTGACTGCAGTTCGGCATTGTAACCAACTTCAGTGTGCAAATGCTCACCTGCGATGGCAACTGGCAAACTGGAAAAAGTGTGCTCTTCACGAATGAATCCCGGTTTCAACTGTACCGGGCAGATGGCGTCGTGTGGGCGAGCGGTTTGCTGATGTCAACGTTGTGAACAGAGTGCCCCATAGTGGCGGTGGGGTTATGGTATGGCAGGCATAAGCTACGGACAATGAACACAATTGCATTTCATTGATGGCAATTTGAATGCACAGGGATACTGTGACGAGATCCTGAGGCCCATTGTCGTGCCATTCATCCTCCGCAGGCATAAACTACGGACAACAAACACTATCTGTGACCAACAGATGCATATCTGTATTCCCAGATGCGAAATCCATAGATTAGGGCCTAATGAATGTATTTCAATTGACTGAATTCTTTATATGAACTGTAACTCAGTAAAATATTTGTTATTGTTGCATTTATATTTTTGTTCAGTGATTATCAGTAGAGATACATATATATATATATATATATATATATATATATATATACACACATACATACATACATACATTACATACATATACATATACAGTGAGGGAAAAAAGTATTTGATCCCCTGCTGATTTTGTACGTTTGCCCACTGACAAAGAAATGATCAGTCTATCATTTTAATGGTAGGTTTATTTGAACAGTGAGAGACAGAATAACAACCAAACAATCCAGAAAAACGCATGTCAGAAATGTTATAAATTGATTTGCATTTTAATGAGGGAAATAAGTATTTCACCCCCTCTCAATCAGAAAGATGTCTGGCTCCCAGGTGTCTTTTATACAGGTAATGAGCTGAGATTAGGAGCACACTCTTAAAGGAAGTGCTCCTAATCTCAGTTTGTTACCTGTATAAAAGACACCTGTCCACAGAAGCAATCAATCAATCAGATTCCAAACTCTCCACCATGGCCAAGACCAAAGATCTTTCCAAGGATGTCAGGGACAAGATTGTAGACCTACACAAGGCTGGAATGGGCTACAAGACCATCGCCAAGCAGTTTGGTGAGAAGGTGACAACAGTTGGTGCGATTGTTCGCAAATGAAAGAAACACAAAAGAACTGTCAATCTCCCTCGGCCTGGGGCTCCATGCAAGATCTCACCTCGTGGAGTTGCAATGATCATGAGAACGGTGAGGAATCAACCCAGAACTACACGGGAGGATCTTCAATCAATCAATCAATCAATCAATCAATCAATCAATTTTATTTTATATAGCCCTTCTTACATCAGCTAATATCTCGAAGTGCTGTACAGAAACCCAGCCTAAAACCCCAAACAGCTAGTAATGCAGGTGTAGAAGCACGGTGGCTAGGAAAAACTCCCTAGAAAGGCAAAACCTAGGAAGAAACCTAGAGAGGAACCAGGCTATGAGGGGTGGCCAGTCCTCTTCTGGCTGTGCCGGGTGGAGATTATAACAGAACCATGCCAAGATGTTCAAAAATGTTCATAAGTGACAAGCATGGTCAAATAATAATCAGGAATAAATCTCAGTTGGCTTTTCATAGCCGATCATTAGAGTTTAAAACAGCAGGTCTGGGACAGGTAGGGGTTCCATAACCGCAGGCAGAACAGTTTAAACTGGAATAGCAGCAAGGCCAGGCGGACTGGGGATAGCAAGGAGTCACCACGGCCGGTAGTCCCGACGTATCTTGTCAATGATCTCAAGGCAGCTGGGACCATAGTCACCAAAAAACAATTGGTAACACACTACGCCGTGAAGGACTGAAATCCTGCAGCACCCGCAAGGTCCCCCCCTGCTCAAGAAAGCACATATACAGGCCCGTCTGAAGTTTGCCAATGAACATCTGAATGATTCAGAGGAGAACTGGGTGAAAGTGTTGTGGTCAGATGAGACCAAAATCGAGCTCTTTGGCATCAACTCAACTCGCCGTATTTGGAGGAGGAGGAATGCTGCCTATGACCCCAAGAACACCATCCCCACCATCAAACATGGAGGTGGAAACATTATGCTTTGGGGGTGTTTTTCTGCTAAGGGGACAGGACAAATTCACCACATCAAAGGGACGATGGACGGGGCCATGTACCGTCAAATCTTGGGTGAGAACCTCCTTCCCTCAGCCAGGGCATTGAAAATGGGTCGTGGATGGGTATTCCAGCATGACAATGACCCAAAACACACGGCCAAGGCAACAAAGGAGTGGCTCAAGAAGAACCACATTAAGGTCCTGGAGTGGCCTAGCCAGTCTCCAGACCTTAATCCCATAGAAAATCTGTGGAGGGAGCTGAAGGTTCGAGTTGCCAAACGTCAGCCTCAAAACCTTAATGACTTGGAGAAGATCTGCAAAGAGGAGTGGAACAAAATCCCTCCTGAGATGTGTGCAAACCTGGTGGCCAACTACAAGAAACGTCCAACCTCTGTGATTGCCAACAAGGGTTTTGCCACCAAGTACAGGGGTCAAATACTTATTTCCCTCATTAAAATGCAAATCAATTTATAACATTTTTGACATGCGTTTTTCTGGATTTTTTTGTTGTTATTCTGTCTCCCACGGTTCAAATAAACCTACCATTAAAATTATAGACTGATCATTTCTTTGTCAGTGGGCAAACGTACAAAATCAGCAGGGGATCAAACACTTTTTTCCCCTCACTGTATACATACATACATACATACATACATACACACACACACACACACATACATACATACACACACACATACATACATATACACACACACACACACACACACACACCCCCGTTCAAAAGTTTGGGGTCACTTAGAAATGTCCTTGTTTTCGAAAGAAAAGCAACAGTGTAGAGGCGACTCAGGGATGCTGTCCTTCTAAGTCTGTTCTTTTGCCCATCTTAATCTTTTATTTTTATTGGCCAGTCTGAGATATGTATTTTTCTTTGCAACTCTGCCTAGAAGGTGAGCATCCCGGAGTCACCTCTTCACTGTTGACGTTGAGACTGGCGTTTTGCGGGAAAATATTTAATGAAGCTGCCAGTTGAGGACCTGTGAGGCGTCTGTTTCTCAAACTAGACACTCTAATGTATTTGTGCTCTTGCTCAGTTGTGCACCGGGGCCTCCCACTCCTCTTTCTATTCTGGTTAGAGCCAGTTTGCTCTGTTCTGTGAAGGGAGTAGTACACAGCATTGTACGAGATCTTCAGTTTCTTGGCAATTTCTCACATGGAATAGCCTTCATTTCTCAGAACAAGAATAGACTGACGAGTTTCAGAGAAAGTTATTTGTTTCTGGCCATTTTGATCCTGTAATCGAACCCACAATTGCTGATGCTCCAGATACTCAACTAGTCTCAAGAAGGCCAGTTTTATTGCTTCTTTAAATCAGCACAACAGTTTTTCAGCTGTGCTAACATAATTGCAAAAGGGTTTTCTAATGATCAATTAGCCTTTTAAAATGATAAACTTGGATTAGCAAACACAACATGCCATTGGAACACAGGACTGATGGTTGCTGATAATGGGCCTCTGTACGCCTATGTAGATATTCCATTAAAAATCAGCCGTTTCCAGCTACAATAGCCATTTACAACATTAACAATGTCTACACTGTATTTCTGATTAATTTGATGTTATTTTAATGGACAAAAAAAAAAAAGGACATTTCTAAGTGACCCCAAACTTTTGAACGGATATATATGACTAAAAAGAGAATATGTTTTACAATTACAAATGGGAGATCTACAATAGATCTCACATTGTAACACATCTTCCCCTTTTAGTTATAGATAACATACTGTATCTGCAGCCGAATCATTCCTGTACCACGATGCTGGAAATGTGCTCAGTTGGTAGAGCATGGAGCTTGCAACGCCAGGGTTGTGGGTTCGTTTCCCACGGGGGACAAGTATGAAAATGTATGCACTCACTAACTGTAAGTTGCTCTGGATAAGAGCGTGTGCTAAATGACTAAAATGTAAATAGGACAACATAAGTATAGTTGGATGATATATATATATATATATATATATATTATGCCATTTAGCAGAAGCTTTTATTCAAAGTTACTTACAGTCATGTGTGCATACATTTTATGTGTGGTTGGTCATGGTAACCGAACCCACAGTGCTGGCTCTACCAACTGAGTCAATCAGGATGATTATGTTTTATTGTGTGTCGTTTTGATGGAATTCCTGAAAATGGGTCACACTGAGTCACCTCTGACATCTGAGTGGCAGTGTTGCCCCTGGCACCCAGGAACACCATGGCCAGGGCAGAGGAGATGCTGAGAGGGGAGTAGAAAACATTGCCCGTTTTGTTGGTCTCTGTGATCATCTTGAACAGTTCCAGAGAGAAGTTTGTATTGGCTACAGACACGGATGCCATTGTAACTGGTGGGAGAGGCAGGCAGGCAGGCAGGCAGGCAGAGCTTTGGAAGAAAAGTGAAGATGCTAGTATCAGTGGGTCTGCTAATTCATTGCAACAGAACAGTCAAACGAATGGGGATGCAATTATCCATCTACTGCGGATGCCAATGAACAGAGAATGCAGCTAGCTACATCTAAATGATCAATGTCGTGTCCTCTCTGATGTTACATTGATGGTAGTCTCGTGATTTTGGATATGATATTACGTCCAGGTAGCCAAGCAAACAACAATAGTTATTATGCAAAAGTCAATCGGCAAGTAATTCACCAATACATTTTTTTTTTTTTTTTTTATCGTAGCTAATCGTAACTTCACCTGAAAGTTGTTAGGATCAACAGCATAAACATTTTAAAATATGGTCAGTGCAGTCACCAGCTGATTGGGAAAATATTATATTGCAGCTACTCACCAAATAATGGTTCTTTGTAAATGTCAGGTAGTCCTTTTCCAGACAGGTGTCTTCAGTAGGTGGCTTTCTACAGACAAGTTTCAGTGAACTTTCTATGAAACGTTTTAAACTGCAGACACGCCCTGGGGCCTGTCAAAGTGCTCTTCCGCATTATGGTCAGCTGACTACTACCGCAAGCCAACTGGATCAAACTAATGTACTATGAAGTAAAAACTACATCCAAGCAGTGTAGGGCCTAATCACACACATTTACAACAGAGTGAAATAAAATAGAATAATGTGTCCTTTTGTATTTATTGCTGTTAATTCCAGGAAAACATATCAACTATTTGCATAAAAACCCCAATTCGTTTTAGAAATATATTTGACCTTTCCAGTACAATAACATTTACATAAAGAATACAGTAAACATACACCTGAAGGTAACAGTGAGTGTACCCCCTACAGTACAGCCCTTTTAACCATAAAAGTTTAACAAGTACAACTGTCAGGTTCATACGTGGTCCTCTGTAGCTCAATTGGTAGAGCATGGCGCTTGTAACGCCAGGGTAGTGGGTTCGATCCCCGGGACCACCCATACGTAAAAATGTATGCACGCATGACTGTAAGTCGCTTTGGATAAAAGCGTCTGCTAAATGGCATATTATTATATGTACAATTGTCCTTCAAGCTCACATGGTTCCTCAGTCATCCATCCAATTCTGTAAAGTGGTCCCACATGTTTTCTTTCCCTGTGTTCATGACGTCCACACCGTGTTGAATCAAAATTCCAAGTTTGCCTCAATATTTTAAGTAAATGCAAGAAATATCTGCTTCCATCAAATCAAGCAGAAGAGATTTAGAGTACATTACCTGTTGGGGGACAAGCTTTTTAATCACGTTTGTGGAGGAAAACAGTACTAAGTGTGGCTATTAATGAAATTGGACTAAACTTCTCATATCAACAAACGACTGTGTAACATACCTGTAGCTCTTTTACAACACGTAGACCCCAAATCTTATACAGACATGAAAGAGCTCTAAATCATTGACAATTATCTCAAGTGATATGTCTGAGAAGGCAGGGATTGACATTAAAGTCTGATTGGGCAAGTCAAGAGTATTTTTTGGTTGCCCGAAGAATATGATCACTTGCCCGAAAATATAAATTAGCTGGTTACACGCAAAGTGCCATATATTGCATGCCTTTCACCTACACATTATTTGTATATCAGTGAAAAAATTCTCAGAGCAGGTTAAAGTTTCCTGCCTGCCATAAATTGTCTGTCTTTCACTTAAACAATGAGGACAGAGAAAGATCAGTTTTAGTCCGCTGGAACTCTTTGCAGTTTGGTTATTTTCACTTTTTTTTGTCAATCCCTGGAAGGCTACCAATCCTGATACCCAAACAACTTCAGTCAGAAACCGCCATTAGTGTTCACACTATTCATTTTCATACTCCACATGAAAACACCAATTTGTAGTGTATATGTGCATAATTTGAGTACATTTACCAATGTACAAACATATGCCATACAGTTAGATCTCACTGCTGCATTAAAGTTAGATCTGGGAATAAACGTATTGCGTCTCCGGGAAGGCTACACGACATCTGCCTTGGCCACCACAGTCCTGTAGAAATGGCTAAAGGAAATATAGTTATTTTCAGAGGAGAACAGTGTTAATCGATAGTATTATCCCTCCTAAATTCCACTGATGCTCCAAAAGGCGGCCAAATAGTGGCCCGACTCTGCAGGGCAGCACAACATTTCCAAGAGAATACTGGACGGAGGGACAGCAGTATAGTGTGGTCTGAGCTTCATTGTTGCAATAACATCTGGCTCTAGTTCTTTTAGGACTGTTTCAGTGCACTTGAGAAACTTCTGAATTCCTGGTAGCTATAGTGCATATTGTCAAAGAATCAAATTAAAATAAAAACCCAGCAGCATTTAACTTCGACATGACAGACATGATGATTAAGAATGTCTCGCAGTGCATTTCAAATTATATCAAGTGGCTAATGCTTTAAGAAAAATGTTTCGATACTGCCAGATTCCTTACATTAAAAAAACAAAAAAAATATGTGGTACATTCATAAACACTGCAGCAGAATATATTTAAAAAAGAATCCCAGCTTTTCTTTAAGATGAACTTTCTTGTTTGTCCTCATCTTTTGTAGCTGTACAGTAGTTAAACAATAGAAATCCTTGTCATATAACAATGAGGAGGCATAAATATAGGAAAATCTTTAATCGAGATCACGCAGGATCCCCATGTATTCAGAGAACAAAATAATTTCCCCTAGAGAGGTGGTGTCATATTCCCAAGCTCCCACACTCTAAGAGACGTGGTGTCATTTTCTATTTTTCTAATAATATAAATAATAAGTTAGTGAACATGAGCTGCTTGCTTTCTTGTGGCAGTTTTCAGTGCAAAATACCAAAAGCCACTTAGGGATCGGTGGTGGGGGGGGGGGGGGGGGGGGGGGGGGGGGTGTCTCATTTGGAAATGAGACAGCTTCGCTCTCAGCTGTGACGGGGACGTAGAGAACGTCTCCGGCACAAGTACTCAGGACCCTCCTCGCACACGCTCTTTAAAAAGGTCAAACCAAAAATGACAATGACTGAGAAACATTTGAGTGAAGCCCTCTTGAAACGGAGGGGAACAAGATGGTGGAACGAGAAGATGTGTTCAGTTGGCGTTGTCTAGTGCTTCGGAAGAGTGGGCGGCGGCGTACTTCAGCCAAAAGCCACCTGAAAAACAGAGAGGGGACAGCGTCAGTGGAACAAAGAATAAAATAAGAAATGGGAGGATTAAAATAACCTCAGAGTCCGCCAGCAAAAAGACAAGGATCCACTGAGACGGATTCCCAACATGCACCTCAGCGGTTGGGAATTAGTGTTTTTCATTTTTAACTATTCTGCTGTGTTTTGTCTTTGCTAAGAGAGAGTTTTGAGAGAAAAACGTCCACAGATCTCCTGAGATGAGAGAGAGGCCTTAACAGCAGCTCCTGGCTGTAAATAAGTCCTGCCGATGGAGGTGGCCAATAGTCTGGTTTTGGGGGGTAGGGGGTGGGGGGTTGGGAAGGTTACTGCAAAGGTGTGCCTTCCCAAGCTTGGTCAAGGGTGCCCTCTGTGTGGGTGGGTGTAGGGTTCTACAGCACTAGTATGTGAGAGAGAGTGAGAGCGGGCTGAGGGGGGGGGGTCAGTCCTGAAGGCTGACCACTACTTGGGGGGGGGGGGTGCTGCAGCGGGGGGCAGAGGGGTCCATCTGAAGAGGCCCCTGGCCGTGGCGTTATTACCTTGCTGTGTCGAATCAATGGAGGGCTGTTTGCAGTCCTGTGCGTAGTGCCCAGTGACCCCACAGTTGTAGCAGGAGACGCTGCCGTTCTTCTTGTTGACGCCAACGGCTCCCGCCCCGTGCACCATACCCACGCTGGAGGGGTACATGTGCGGGTAGAAGCGGTTGAAGGGCGACACCATCTGCTGGAGGCTGTAGCCTAGCTGGTTGGCCAGTACGTGGTCAGAGTTGGGGTGGGTGTGCAGCAGGGTCTGGCCAACGTAGGGGGCCGGGGCGGGGGGAAAGAATGGCAGCTGGGCCCGGCCGTTGCTCTGTGGGGGTGGCTGGCTGAGGTAGTTGCTGGTGCACAGGGACGTAAGCTGGAAGATGGGCGGCACGCCAAACACCTGCCGTGGCGCCATCTGGTGGGGGAAGAAAAACGACGGAGCTGTATGGCAACCACCTCGGCAACCGCACGCCCCGCAGCACATGGCCTGTAGCTGGGGAGTCGTTTGTTGTTGTTGTTGTTGTTGTTGTTGTTGTTGTTGTTGCGCCTGTTGCTGGGCGATGGGGTTACTGGTGCAGCTGGTGCTGTTGATGTAGGAGGTGGAGTCGCTCTGGACTGTGCTGTAGGTGATGGCAGGGTTGGGCGCTGGGCCGGGGGTATGGGTGGGCACTGACGGGGGCACCACCGCCTGAACCTGACCAGCGGAAGGCCCTACCCCTGCCCCTAGCGTGGCCGTGACGGAAGTGGGGATTGGGGCCATGGTGTACAGGGAGGGCAGGCCCGAGAAAAGAGCCATGTCTGGGTGCTTGGTGTGAGGGATACTATGGTTCCCCAGGGGTACGGAGGGGGTTAGGGAGGCGGCAGGGTCTGGGTTGGGGTAGGCAGGCTGCAGGGGTGAGGCATAGGGCGGCCCGGGGGTGATGACACTGATAACAGGGAGGGCGGTGACACCGTCAGAGCTGGCAGTGGTCTGTGGAGGGGCCGTCTTGAAGTGCTGGACCAGGGGCTGCAGGGCAGGAAGGCCAGGGGAGTGTAAGCCCAGGGCTGGGGAGCCAAACCCTGGGAGTACCATGGGCACTGCAGCAGGGGTATCCCTCTTCTCTGGATCCCCTGGCACGGGAACTGGCAGGGGAGTGGGCTTGGGCTCTCGGCGGACCAGGGGCACCTGCATGATCAGCCCTCCGACCACCTTGTTGTCTACCAGGGCAGCTGCAACCTGAGGGGGGGGCAGGACTGGGAGAGGGGCATCGACATGTAGTGCCCCATTGGGCAGCATGTAGGGCAGGGGGTGCATGAAGTTGATGGGGGAACAGTCCAGGCTGGTCTCGGGGCAGGGGGGCTCCCCGACAGGCTTGGCAGAGACTAGGGCGTGGATGGTGGGCATGGCCCCACCTGCAACCTCCTGCCAGGGGAAGAAGGCGTCCGCTTGGCCCTGGCTACTGTCCGTATCTGGGTGAGGGTGAGAGCAAGAGAGAGAATGAGAGAGAGAGAGAGAGAGAGAGAGAGAAAAGTCTCAGTGATGTCCCAAAAATAAGAGAGCGAGAGAGAGAAGTCTCAGTGATGTTGTGCATGTCTCACCTTTGTCCGTCTCGTCCTCGCTGTCCAGGCTCTCTGGTTCGTGGTGCTGTGGGCTGGAGGCGGAGCTGTAGCTCTCAGACGAGGTTTCGCCGTATACCTCCTGACTGGATCCTCCGTCTAGACGGCCTTTAGGACACACACAACCCCAACATTAATTAAATAATTAGATTTAGCTAAAATATTTTTAATATTACATTTTTTTAATATGCCATTTAGCAGAAAAATATGATTGCAAAGCTTTGATTAACATCCAATAAAACCTCTGAAGGCATATGGGTGTGCTAAGGCATACAGATAAGCGGATCAAAAGTTGACTGAAAAGCCATGCCTTATAAACTTGTACAACATTGCTCTCTGTTGGTTGAATGGAGTTACTACAAGACGTAAAGGCCTAAACTCACCAATGGCGAGCGTGCAAAGTGTGTATGATTTATTTTAGAATGCATTGTTTTGAATTATAATTACCCAACCGAGGCCTCGCTCAATTTGAACGGGTCTCTATTTTAGCATTTTATCGTTGGCGCTGTAGTCACACAAAATAATACAAATGCTGTTATTATTCACTTTTTTTTCATTTTAATTGAAAGAGGTAGCTAGGGGGCTGAGGCTTCAGAATACATGCCAAATTAGACCAATTCATCCACTTATGGAAACAACACTGGAGATATGGACTATCCTGCTAGCATACAGTCCCTGCTCTGCCTTTCCACCCGCCTCGATCTGCTTGCTCTGGTGAGTCTGTCGCTTAAGCCTTTCCTCCACACAACAAGCAGTTGCTCCACAGAGCTGATGGCGTTTCAGAGCTTTAGGATAGGAAGACTGCCAGGGCAAAAAATCATCTCCATCGATACCAACCTTTCCCTGTGGACTGTCGCGCTCGCTGAGAAGCTGATGTCACCGCGCTCCCGTTCGCCAAGTACTTCCCCTTTTCTCTGAAGGAGGAAGCGACAAAAAGGATACAGGATAAATGAGGAAGGAGAAGAGGAACTGAAGCCTGTTGCTCGACAGACTAGTTGGTAGTACAGGAGACTGGATGGCTAACGCTCAGTTGTTAGCACGCTAGCATAATGCCTGGTCCTCTCTGTCAGGCCCTGTGGTGGGAGGGATTGACGCTAACGCTCTTCTGATAGCACGCTATCTAGCATAAGGCTAGGCCTTCTCTGACAGGCACCATTGTGCTGGTAGGGGTTTCCTGAACACAGTCGCACTGTAACAAACAAATATGTCTACGAAGCAACACCTATCACAATGTAGAAACTGTACTGTCACTGAGCCAGTATGTCTGTGCAGGGAAGTCTCTTCACTGTCAGTCAATGTGAGGACCCTTTTAGAAGGTGGGTGATAATGACTGTATTCACTGGGTTAGCGACTGACTGTCTTCTTGCCTCCTTCAAACGCACTTTACTGGCTTTTCTCAGTAGACACTAGGATCAGGTCCCCCTGTCAATATGATATTATGCATTTGGTATCTAAAAAGGCAAAACTGATCCTAACTCAGCACTCCTACTCTGAGACAACTGGTACATACGGCCCCCCTGATTCCCTGGTGGGTTGAACATTGATGTAGCCAGTGATTACCTGTCCCTGGTGGGTTGAACATTGATGTAGCCAGTGATTACCTGTCCGGTCCCTGTGGCTGCCTTTTGGTGGCAGGGTGGCTGCTCCTCCTGTCCTGATGCTGTGGACCAGATAGATTCTGTTAGGTACCAGGGGAAGTTCCTTCCTCCTAAACCACTGTGTGTGTGTGTGTGTGTGTGTGTGTGTGTGTGTGTGTGTGTGTGTGTATTTTGAGTTTATTAAAATTAACACTTGCAAATGGACTAAATCGATATCAGCTAACCATCTGAAGAACCGGTCCGCTACATTGTAACGTGCAGACTTTTTGCTCTAACAAACCCGATTTGAGTGTATTAATAGAATGAGGTGTGTTTTTTAAAGTAGGGCTGGAGCAAAACCCTGAACATCCATTTGCTCTCCAGGAGGAGAGTACTCGACCATGTGTGCCTTTTAGAACATATGGCTCCATTATATGACTGAAATGAAATGTAAATTATACTATATGCCAGAGCAGGAATGCCATAGTAGTGCATCTGTTTTACCGTTTAGAAATGAAAGCACTTTATGTAGGTATCTAATCCCCCCATTTTGAAGGTGTCATAAGTATTTGGACAAATTCACTTAAAAGTGTATTAAATTTAGTCAAGTGTAGTACTTGGCCCCATATTCCTAATACGCAATGACTACATCAAGCTTGTGACTCTACAAACTTGATGGATGCATTTGCAGTTTGTTTTTGGTGGGGCCATTTTAAAAAGTCATAAAACAAAAACAACCAATCGAAATGCATGTTCATACACTGAACATGATACAAAACGATCTGAAAAACAAATGGTTTAATTGCATGGCATTAACTGTAAATTCTTTTGCATTTTGTGAGAATTGGGTTGCATCTGAAATGGTACCCTATTCCCTATACAGAGCCCCTCTATTTCACCAGGAAATTGGGATGTAGCCTTGTTCTCTGTCCGTCTCACCTGCTCTGGGCCTGGCCCCCCAGAGGACTCCTGCTCTGGGCCCGGCCCCCCAGAGGACTCCTGGTCGGGTTGAAGGGTGCAGCGCTTCCTCCACCAGTCAGGCAGGCTGTTGTGCTTTGAGCTGTGTGCCCCCCTCCGAATGCTCTCCCCCTGGGAACTTTTGGCATCGGGAATGCTGGGGGAAAAAAGGGAGGGGAAATAAGAATAATTTTCAGGTCTTTCGTCAGAAACAAATCTATGGTGTAGATCTGATTCACTCCTAACCACATATCTAGGATCAGGCTACTCTATCCCCATTCCAAACCATAATCATCAGGTAGTCTCTGGACTAGTGATTAGGAGCAACTTCTGCCTTCTAGGGTTGGGTCAATTCCTTTTAAAATCCAGTCAATTCAGGAAGTACAATGGGATTCCAATTCTAATTCACTTCAATGCTTTTCCATGAGGAACATTTGGAATTTAAATGTGATTTACTTTCTGAATTGTAATTGGACAACAGGGTGCCTACCTAAGGCTGGGGCTATTGCTGCCATGTTTCTTCCGGTGCCCCTGAAAGTATGGCTCCAAATCTGAAGGGTAGAGACATTTATTAATTCACCAATTCATAGTTGACAGGAAACCAATGCACTTTAATCAACATTTCAGTCTTTCCATCCCTAGTGAGATCAGTGAGTAGCAACAGGCATTCCTCATTGAGAAACATTGTAATGCTTTATGACATAGCTAAGTTATTTTACTAATAGGACATTCATTGGTTTAGCTAAGCTTGCAGTGAAAGTGTATGCTGCACATCTGAATATCACAGTACTGTGCGCACGCACGCGCGCACACACACACACACACACACACACACACACACACACACACACACACACACACACACACACACACACACACACACACACACACACACACACACACACACACACACACACACACACACACACACACACACACACACACACACACAACAATGTATGTTTTGTTGGTGTCTCCCAGTCAGAAGATCACAACTCACCACTGTGTTCTGGCCTGCCCTTGAGTTAAGAGATTAATTATGAAGGTTGCTGCTGTCCTCAAGGGCTTCATTCCAAACTCCCTCCCTCCCTCCCTCCCTCCCTCCCTCCCTACCTCCGTCCCTCCGTCCCTGCTGCCTAGTACATTAGTCCCATAAGATGACATTGTACTGTACTCTACCTACTGCTACCAGGTCCAAAGGCTGTTTTCTGGGAGACAGGGAGATATACCACAGCGCCACAGGGGCTAGCATTAGCATCCCTAGGCCTGTGATTAGTCTGCGAGCCCAGAGCAAGGACGACGGGCAAAATATAGCCTCAAAATGCAAGGGAGGGAAGAGAGAGAGAATCAGAGAGTCAGAGAGAGAATCAGAGAGTTAGAGAGAGAGAGAATCAGAGAGTCAGAATCAAAGAGTTAGAGAGAGAGAATCAGAGAGTCAGAATCAAAGAGTCAGAGAGAGAGAATCAGAGTCAGAATCAAAGAGTTAGAGAGAGAGAATCAGAGAGTCAGAATCAAAGAGTCAGAGAGAGAGAATCAGTCAGAGAGCGATAATCAGAGAGTCAGAGAGAGAATCAGAGTCAAAGAGAATCAGAGTCAGAGAGAGAGAATCAGTCAGAGAGCGATAATCAGAGAGTCAGAGAGAGAATCAGAGTCAGAGAGAGAGAATCAGAGGGCGAGAGAGAGGATCAGAGAGAGAATCAGAGAGAGAATCAGAGAGAGAGATAATCAGAGCGAGATAGAGAATCAGAGAGAGAGATAATCAGAGAGAGATAGAGAGAGAGAGAGAATCAGAGAGAACCGGAGAGAGTGAGAATCAGAGAGAGAGAGAGAGAATCAGAGAGAATCAGAGAGAGAGAGCGAATCAGAGAGAGAAAAAGAGAGAGAGAGAGACAGAAATAGAGACAGAGCCAATCATATAACATATTATTTGAAATGTCTATATTCTTTAAAACTTTTGTGTAATGTTTACTGTTCATTTTTGATTGTTTATTTCCCTTTTGTTTGTCTATTTCACTTGATTTGGCAATGTAAAAATATGTTTCCCATTCCAATAAAGCCCCTTAAATTGAAATTGAATTGAGAGAGAGACAGAGAGACAGAGGGAGAGAGAGATACACAGAGGGAGGGAGAGAGAGAGAGAGAGAGAGAGAGAGAGAGAGAGAGAGAGAGAGAGAGAGAGAGACAGAAAGACAGAGACAGAGAGACACGAGAGACACAGCCAGACAGAAAGAGAGAGAGAGACAGAGAGACAGAAAGACAGAGAGAGACAGAAAGACAGAGAGACAGAAAGACAGACAGAGACACAGAGAGAGAGACAGAAAGAGAGAGCGAGAGAGACAGCGAGAGAGAGAGAGACAGAAATAAAAGAGACACAGAGAGAGAGACATAAAGAGAGAGAGAGAGAGAGAGAGACAGAAAACTAAAATATAATTACTTGACACACTGGAAAGAATTTACAAAAAAACAGAGCAAACTAGAATGCTATTTGGCCCTAAACTGAGCTGCACTTCCTAACCTCCTGCCAAATGTATGACCATATTAGAGACACATATTTCTCTCAGATTACACAGACCCACAAAGAATTCGAAAACAAATCCAATTTTGATAAACTCCCTTATCTACTGGGTGAAAAACCACAGTGTGCCATCACAGCAGCAAGATTTGTGACCTGTTGCCACAAGAAAAGGGCAACCAGTGAAGAACAAACACCATTGTAAATACAACCTATATTTATGTTTATTTATTTTCCCCTTTGTACTTTAACTATTTGCACATGGTTACAACACTGTATATATATACATAATATGACATTTGAAATGTCTTTATTCTTTTGGAACTTCTGAGTGTAATGTTTACTGTTAATATTTATTGTTTATTTCACTTTTGTTTATTATCTACTTCACTTGCTTTGGCAAAGTTAACATACGTTTCCCATGCCAATAAAGCCCTTGAGAGAGAGAGAGAGAGAGAGAGAGAGAGAGAGAGAGAGAGAGAGAGAGAGAGAGAGAGAGAGAGAGAGAGAGAGAGAGAGAGAGAGAGAGAGAGAGAGAGAGAGAGAGAGAGAGAGAGAGAGAGAGAGAGAGAGAGAGAGAGAGAGAGAGAGAGAGAGAGAGAGAGAGAGAGAGAGAGAGAGAGAGAGAGAGAGAGAGAGAGAGCGCATGCTTTCCAAAATACACAGGAGCCATAAAAGTTGGAGTTAGCGATGTAGCGCTACTTGTTAGCCTGCTGGAGTACAGGACTCCCTCTCATGCACTGTGCATTTCTCCCTTCCCTTCCCCTTCCTTGGTGGAAACTAAATGAATCAACCCCTAAATCAGGTTCACACATGGGTTAGCTGCCGAGCTACGCAACTTAGTTAAATAGGCTATTTCACTGGAGTTTAGGCAAAACCTTGCGAGGAATAGGCTAAACGTTTCTGCAACAACCCTTTTCAAATCAACAACTCTCACTACTCCTCCCACCAGCTCAGGTTTTGACCAACTGTCAAAAATTGTCAGTCTCCTAGGATACACTTCCTGTAGATTTTTACTCCAAACTGGGGTGTATAAAGGGTTGTGGCGAGGGGAGTGACTAGGGGGGTGGGGGGTTCAGGGTGAACTGGGTTAGGGTGGGACGGAGCCCAATGGTGTTAGGGGGTAACCATGTTGGAATGAGTAGGGTGTAGGGTGGACTGGGTTGGTGGGTGGTGAGGGGTGAACCGGATTGGGTGGGTGGGTGGGTGGGGGGGGGGGGGGGGGGGTACTCACACACACCTTCCTCTTGGCTGGATGCCTCAGAACCATCCTCCTTGTAGGGCTTCCCCATGGCTGCAGGGTTACCTGGAGACAGGCACAGACACAGGCCGTGTTCGTGAGCATCAAAACGTTGATGCATCATGGGTAAATTATGACAGACTGATCTACAAATAATATTGAGTAGTTATTTATATGATGCAAGGTGATTTGTAGTCTCGACTTTGAAGTCGGCTGCAATGTCGAACGTGCCCACACGCTCAACCTAATTCCACCTCAAAATACCACATCATGACTTGCCCAGAGGAAAACTGCTATTGGTGTAAGGTGAACTAGTATAAATGACGCACCAAGTCAGACAAGCCGCCGCCACGGGTAGGGGATGTCAAGGTAGGGGGAAACACTGCTGTTAACCACAGAGGGCACCTGATCTGACCTGTGTCCCTCTGGGAGATTTGTGTCACCCTCTTCTTCACCACCTGGCCCTTGTTGATCACTCAGCCTGTGTGTGGATCACTGACAGACACTTGATCGGGTCTCCAACAGCTCCCAGGGGACCCACAGGGGGAGGACAGGGGACAGGTGGCTTTTCTGACACACAAACCCCTCGGCTGTCAACCCGTCTCTCAGGTTGAGGTGTGTCTGGTAGCGTCTCAAATGGCACCCTATTCCACATACAGTACACTACTTCTGACCAGAGCCCACAGGGAACAGATGGTTTCAGTAGGAGACACAGTAGGGAGTGTAGGTATTGGCAAGAAAGCAGCAAATCAGTCTGTCTCTGATATGAAAAAGGGACGAATGTGGAAATCAGCTTGCTTCCCCTTGCTGCTACATGATGCATCATCATGTATCCCTCATAAACAGCGTTTTGATCGTATCATGTATCCCTTATAAACAGTGGTTTCATCATAGTAAGACATCTACTACAGTAGGCAACGCTTGACTTTATAAGCGATCTGTTAAATGCATTATGATCAGTCCCGAAGCCAAGACCTAGCTCCGGAAGCCCTAGATACATTTTTGGGGATATGGAACATTTGCTCCTAATCCATTTTTACAGCGCTGTAAAAGACTCGGCAGCTCAAAGGATGTTCCAGAAACTGCAGGGTTTATAAGCAGAGGTGGGAGGGGTACATTTACAGAATTAACCAAAAGGGGGAAATATTTAACGGTCTTCGTTCATCTTGTGTCAAACTGAGGTACATTAAAAGCTTGAACGCGTCCTCTGATCTAATGCACAGGAGGACGCTGAGGGGAGGACGGCTCATAGTAATGGCCAGAACAGAGCAAATGGAATGGAATCAAACACCATGGAAACCATGTTGTTTTATGTATTTGATGCCATTCCACTGATTCCGATCCAGCCATTACCACGAGCCTTGTCCTCCCCAAATTAAGGTGCCACCAACCTCCTGTGATCTAACGGTATGGCAAGAAAAACATGCTGACTGGCCATATGATTTCTTCCCATAAAATAAAGCAATATGCATTTCACATTTATCTAATGAATTGCATCAGAATATTCAGATTTCCTCTGACTGAGAATATTCCACAGCTTGCATCCCAAATGGCACCCTATTCCCTATATAAAGCCCTACTCTGGTCAGAAGTAGTGCACTACATAAGGAATAGGCCCTATATAAAGCCCTACTCTGGTCAGAAGTAGTGCACTACATAAGGAATAGGGTGCCATTTGGGATGCTTGCATAGAGTGTGGCCCATAGAGAGGGAGGATGGGTAAATAGAGGTGGATTGATAGCCACTGCGTTGGGAGTAGGGTTGTGACAGAGGCTGAGTTAGGGTGACGTAGCTCCACCCCTGAATGGCCCGTTGTTGCGCCTGCCAGGGCACTGCGCTCAGGACCGCTCACCTCACCTGGGTGTCAACATACATCAGCTCTGCTCTGGGGGAGGTCGTAGGGAGCTGTGGGTGACACACGGATACACTAGACCTAGAGCCCACCGCAACATTTTAGCAGACGCACTTATCCAGAGCGACTAACAGGAGCAATTAGGGTTAAGTGCCTTGCTCAATCTTTTGGTTACTGGCCCAATGCTCTTTAACCGCTAGGCTACCTGCCGCCCCCACACATGGCATGTTATGATGAGAGTATGCATTAAGAGAGGGCATGCTCACACACACACACACACACACGCTCAAACACACACACACACACACACACACACACACACGCTCAAACACACACACACACACACACGCTCAAACACACACACACACACATCTTCCTCCTGCTCTGTGTCCACAGGGCCTACTCAGCTCCCTCTTTCCCACAGCAGCCCCAGTGTGTTGACTTTGGATGATTTAGTAGCCTTCCTTCCCTGAGAAGGCTATTAGTGGTAGTGGGTGTGGCCAACGGCATCGTCTCTGACCAATCATTTCAGACAACCTCCTCTTGGCTGCAGAGACAACATGTTGCCGTTTTCCTGCAATTCGACGCATTTTGCCATGGGGAGAGATAATATTTTACAGTTTTAAAGCCAGTTTCCTGCAATTCGACGCATTTTGCCATGGGGAGAGAGAATATTTTACAGTTTTAAAGCTAGTTTCCTGCAATTCGACGCATTTTGCCATGGCTTATGCCTCTTCTTATGCTACCTGAGTGACTTAAACATTATAAGAAAATCAATGAGGGCCGCATGCCATGACATTTTTTGAATTTTAGATTCTCCCTGACCGTCTAGTTTTCATTTTGGTGATTGTTCATTCTCAAAGATGATCTTATTTTTAAAAAATATGGTGGCATTCTCTTTTCCACATACTTTATATCTGGTTTTAGTCGTTAAGTTTAAACTGAAAACGTTTTTCCATCCCATTTTTTTGTTGCATTTTATATTACACAGTTAGCTGTTTATATAAACAGTGGGGAAAAAAGTATTTAGTCAGCCACCAATTGTGCAAGTTCTCCCACTTAAAAAGATGAGAGAGGCCTGTAATTTTCATCATAGGTACACGTCAACTATGACAGACAAAATGAGAAAAAAAATTCCAGAAAATCACATTGTAGGATTTTTAATGAATTTATTTGCAAATTATGGTGGAAAATAAGTATTTGGTCACCTACAAACAAGCAAGATTTCTGGCTCTCACAGACCTGTAACTTCTTCTTTAAGAGGCTCCTCTGTCCTCCACTCATTACCTGTATTAATGGCACCTGTTTGAACTTGTTATCAGTATAAAAGACACCTGTCCACAACCTCAAACAGTCACACTCCAAACTCCACTATGGCCAAGACCAAAGAGCTGTCAAAGGACACCAGAAACAAAATTGTAGACCTGTACCAGGCTGGGAAGACTGAATCTGCAATAGGTAAGCAGCTTGGTTTGAAGGAATCAACTGTGGGAGCAATTATTAGGAAATGGAAGACATACAAGACCACTGATAATCTCCCTCGATCTGGGGCTCCACGCAAGATCTCACCCTGTGGGGTCAAAATGATCACAAGAACAAGAAGCAAAAATCCCAGAACCACACGGGGGGACCTAGTGAATGACCTGCAGAGAGCTGGGACCAAAGTAACAAAGCCTACCATCAGGAACACACTACGCCGCCAGGGACTCAAATCCTGCAGTGCCAGACGTGTCCCCCTGCTTAAGCCAGTACATGTCCAGGCCCGTCTGAAGTTTGCTAGAGTGCATTTGGATGATCCAGAAGAGGATTGGGAGAATGTCATATGGTCAGATGAAACCAAAATAGAACTTTTTGGTACAAACTCAACTCGTCGTGTTTGGAGGACAAAGAATGCTGAGTTGCATCCAAAGAACACCGTACCTACTGTGAAGCATGGGGGTGGAAACATCATGCTTTGGGGCTGTTTTTCTGCAAAGGGACCAGGACGACTGATCCGTGTAAAGGAAAGAATGAATGGGGCCATGTATCGTGAGATTTTGAGTGAAAACCTCCTTCCATCAGCAAGGGCATTGAAGATGAAACGTGGCTGGGTCTTTCAGCATGACAATGATCCCAAACACACCGCCCGGGCAACGAAGGAGTGGCTTCGTAAGAAGCATTTCAAAGTCCTGGAGTGGCCTAGCCAGTCTCCAGATCTCAACCCCATAGAAAATCTTTGGAGGGAGTTGAAAGTCCGTGTTGCCCAGCGACAGCCCCAAAACATCACTGCTCTAGAGGACTGCATGGAGGAATGGGCCAAAATACCAGCAACAGTGTGTGAAAACCTTGTGAAGACTTACAGAAAATGTTTGACCTGTGTCATTGCCAACAAAGGGTATATAAAAGTATTGAGAAACTTTTGTTATTGACCAAATACTTATTTTCCACCATAATTTGCAAATAAATTCATTAAAAATTCTACAATGTGATTTTCTGGATGTTTTTTTCTCATTTTGTCTGTCATAGTTGACGTGTACCTATGATGAAAATTACAGGCCTCTCTCATCTTTTTAAGTGGGAGAACTTGCACAATTGGTGGCTGACTAAATACTTTTTTTCCCCACTGTACATACTGAACAAAAATATTAAACACAACATGCAACAATTTCAAAGATTTTACTGAGTTACATTTTTACATTTACATTTAGCAGAAGCTCTAAAGGTCCTCACCAGACATCACCGGCAACAACGTCGCATATGGGCACAAACCCACAGTCGCTGGACCAGACAGGACTGGCAAAAAGTGCTCTTCACTGACGAGTCGCGGTTTTGTCTCACCAGGGGTGATGGTCGGATTCGCGTTTATCGTCGAAGGAATGAGCGTTACACCGAGGCCTGTAGTCTGGAGCGGGATCGATTTGGTCTGGGGCGGTGTGTCACAGCATCATCGGACTGAGCTTGTTGTCATTGCAGGCAATCTCAACGCTGTGCGCTACAGGGAAGACATCCTCCTCCCTCATGTGGTACCCTTCCTGCAGGCTCATCCTGACATGACCCTCCAGCTTGACAATGCCACCAGCCATACTGCTCGTTCTGTGCGTGATTTCCTGCAAGACAGGAATGTCAGTGTTCTGCCATGGCCAGCGAAGAGCCCGGATCTCAATCCCATTGAGCACGTCTGGGACCTGTTGGATCGGAGGGTGAGGGCTAGGGACATTCCCCCCAGAAATGTCTGGGAAATTGCAGGTGCCTTGGTGGAAGAGTGGGGTAACATCTCACAGCAAGAACTGGCAAATCTGGTGCAGTCCATGAGGAGGAGATGCAGTACTTTACTGACTGTTACTTTTGATTTTGACCCCCCCCCCCCCCCCCCTTTGTTCAGGGACACATTAATCAATTTCTGTTAGTCACATGTCTGTGGAACTTGTTCAGTTTATGTCTCAGTTGATGAATCTTGTTATGTTCATACAAATATTTACACATGCTAAGTTTGCTGAAAATATACACACATATACAGTGAGGGAAAAAAGTATTTGATCCCCTGCTGATTTTGTACGTTTGCCCACTGACAAAGAAATGATCAGTCTATAATTTTTATGGTAGGTTTTTTGAACAGTGAGAGACAGAATAACAACAAAAACATCCAGAATAACGCATGTCAAAAATGTTATAAATTGATTTGCATTTTAAATGAGGGAAATAAGTATTTGACCCCTCTGCAAAACATGACTTAGTACTTGGTGGCAAAACCCTTGTTGGCAATCACAGAGGTCAGACATTTCTTGTAGTTGGCCACCAGGTTTGCACACATCTCAGGAGGGATTTTGACCCACTCCTCTTTGCAGATCTTCTCCAAGTCATTAAGGTTTCGAGGCTGACGTTTGGCAACTCGAACCTTCAGCTCCCTCCACAGATTTTATATGGGATTAAGGTCTGGAGACTGGCTAGGCCACTCCAGGACCTTAATGTGCTTCTTCTTGAGCCACTCCTTTGTTGCCTTGGCCATGTGTTTTGGGTCATTGTCATGCTGGAATACCCACCCACGACCCATTTTCAATGTCCTGGCTGAGGGAAGGAGGTTCTCACCCAAGATTTGATAGTACATGGCCCTGTCCATCGTCCCTTTGATGCGGTGAAGTTGTCCTGTCCCCTTAGCAGAAAAACACCCCCAAAGCATAAAGTTTCCACCTCCATGTTTGATGGTGGGGATGGTGTTCTTTGGGTCATAGGCAGCATTCCTCCTCCTCCTCCAAACACGGCGAGTTGAGTTGATGCCAAAGAACTCCATTTTGGTCTCATCTGACCACAACACTTTCACCCAGTTCTCCTCTGAATCATTCAGATGTTCATTGGCAAACTTCAGACGGGCCTGTATATGTGCTTTCTTGAGCAGGGGGACCTTGCTGGCGCTGCAGGATTTCAGTCCTTCACGGCGTAGTGTGTTACCAATTGTTTTTTGGTGACTATGGTCCCAGCTGCCTTGAGATCATTGACAAGATCCTCCCGTGTAGTTCTGGGCTGATTCCTCACCGTTCTCATGATCATTGCAACTCCACGAGGTGAAATCTTGCATGGAGCCCCAGGCTGAGGGAGATTGACAGTTCTTTTGTGTTTCTTCCATTTGCGACGAATAATCGCACCAACTATTGTCACCTTCTCACCAAGCTGCTTGGCGATGGTCTTGTAGCCCATTCCAGCCTTGTGTAGGTCTACAATCTTGTCCCTGACATCCTTGGAGAGCTCTTTGGTCTTGGTCATGGTGGAGAGTTAGGAATCTGATTGATTGCTTCTGTGGACAGGTGTCTTTTATACAGGTAACAAACTGAGATTAGGAGCACTCCCTTTAAGAGTGTGCTCCTAATCTCAGCTCATTACCTGTATAAAAGACACCTGGGAGACAGAAATCTTTCTGATTGAGAGGGGGGTCAAATACTTATTTCCCTCATTTAAAATGAAAATCAATGTATAACATTTTTGACATGCGTTTTTTTTTTGTTGTTATTCTGTCTCTCACTGTTCAAATAAACCTACCATTAAAATTATAGACTGATCATTTCTTTGTCAGTGGGCAAACGTACAAAATCAGCAGGGGATCAAATACTTTTTTCCCCTCACTGTATGTATATAATATATATATCTATAGAAGTATATTAGTATATATATAGATATCTATATATATAATATATTATATATATTATATATTAGATATATATATATATTATTCATTTTTTGGAGCGGCAACAATTTAGCAGCGGCCCACCACCATAAATATACGGGAAACACTGGTACGGTCATGGATAGTATATATCATCTACATACCTGATGCACACGTGATTATCATTACCTGTGCGAACATGTTGATTATCATAGCTGCAGGACATGTGATTATCATAGCTGAAGGACATGTGATTATCATAGCTGAAGGACATGTGATTATCATACCTGATGGACATGTGATTATCATAGCTGAAGGACATGTGATTATCATAGCTGAAGGACATGTGATTATCTTAGCTGAAGGACATGTGATTATCATAGCTGATGGACATGTGATTATGGTTGAGGGGTTGGGTTGCTGTAGAGGATTTATGCCTGAAATAGGATACTGTATTTTATGCAAGCTTTATTGTAAACTGCCAAAGTGCTCCATTGTGGCACATGTATTTGTGTAAATAAAACCTATCCAAACCTATCTATCTAGTAATGGAAGAGATGTCTGGCTTGGCCACACACGCGCACACACACACACACACACACACACACACACACACACACACACACACACACACACACACACACACACACACAACTTACATCTGCTGCAGCTGCAGGAGGAGGAAGAGGAGGAGGAGGAGGAGGAGGACTCACACAGGAAGAAGCCACAGACCTTCCTTGTCTGTCGGAAAGCTTGTGGAGCCGACAGAAACTTCTCCCTGGCAAGAAAAAAAAGAAGAGAAGGGTGGAAGCAAAAAGTGCCAAGGTCAGTCTATGAGCTGAACTCACTGTGTGGGGTAGAACGTGAAGTAGGCTGGAGTTTAACAGGACGCTCTGGGCCCGTATTCCTAGCTGAACTCACTGTGTGGGGTAGAACGTGAAGTAGGCTGGAGTTTAACAGGACGCTCTGGGCCCGTATTCCTAGCTGAACTCACTGTGTGGGGTAGAACGTGGAGTAGGCTGGAGTTTAACAGGACGCTCTGGGCCCGTATTCCTAGCTGAACTCACTGTGTGGGGTAGAACGTGGAGTAGGCTGGAGTTTAACAGGACGCTCTGGGCCCGTATTCCTAGCTGAACTCACTGTGTGGGGTAGAACGTGGAGTAGGCTGGAGTTTAACAGGACGCTCTGGGCCCGTATTCCTAGCTGAACTCACTGTGTGGGGTAGAACGTGGAGTAGGCTGGAGTTTAACAGGACGCTCTGGGCCCGTATTCCTAGCTGAACTCACTGTGTGGGGTAGAACGTGGAGTAGGCTGGAGTTTAACAGGACGCTCTGGGCCCGTATTCCTAGCTGAACTCACTGTGTGGGGTAGAACGTGGAGTAGGCTGGAGTTTAACAGGACGCTCTGGGCCCGTATTCCTAGCTGAACTCGCTGTGTGGGGTAGAACGTGGAGTAGGCTGGAGTTTAACAGGACGCTCTGGGCCCGTATTCCTAGCTGAACTCACTGTGTGGGGTAGAACGTGGAGTAGGCTGGAGTTTAACAGGACGCTCTGGGCCCGTATTCCTAGCTGAACTCACTGTGTGGGGTAGAACGTGGAGTAGGCTGGAGTTTAACAGGACGCTCTGGGCCCGTATTCCTAGCTGAACTCACTGTGTGGGGTAGAACGTGAAGTAGGCTGGAGTTTAACAGGACGCTCTGCGTATTCCTAACGAGTCTCAGAGTAGGAGTAGGCCTTTTACATCATAATGAGTATGATTACACGGGGCAGGAGGTAGCCTAGTGGTTAAGAGTGTTGGACCAGTAACCAAAAGTTAGCTCGTGTGAATCCCCTAGGTGAAAAATCTGTTGATGTGCCCTTGAGAAAGGCACTTCACCCTAAGTCGCTCTGGATAAGAACGTCTGCTAAATGACTAAAATGTGCAAGGACGTGATCCTAGATCAGCACTCTTGACTCTTTATGAATAGGGGCGCTGCTCTTTTCACCAGGATCCATGCAATTTCTGAAGATCCACTCCTTAGTTTGACTTATACCTTAATTCTCTGAAGGTAATATTTGATCTACCACCAGATTGTGAGAGATAAAACGTGCCGTGGCAACACGGCGGGATCCCAAATGTCAAACAGAAATAATCTCATCTCTTCTATTTGGTTTCACGTGGAACCTCACCAGAGAGCAAATTCTGTTAACTTTGCAATATCAGCGCAATAAGGACATTTGATCAAACAAATGCTGAATTGATGTTAGCTAGTGGCTAATCGTGGCCTAGCAGGGGCTGTGTTAGCTAGTGGCTAATCGTGGCCTAGCAGGGGCTGTGTTAGCTAGTGGCTAATCGTGGCCTAGCAGGGGCTGTGTTAGCTAGTGGCTAATCGTGGCCTAGCAGGGGCTGTGTTATCTAGTGGCTAATCGTGGCCTAGCAGGGGCTGTGTTAGCTAGTGGCTAATCGTGGCCTAGCAGGGGCTGTGTTAGCTAGTGGCTAATCGTGACCTAGCAGGGGCTGTGTTAGCTAGTGGCTAATCGTAGCAGGGGCTGTGTTAGCTAGTGGCTAATCGTGGCCTAGCAGGGGCTGTGTTAGCTAGTGGCTAATCGTGGCCTAGCAGGGGCTGTGTTAGCTAGTGGCTAATCGTGGCCTAGCAGGGGCTGTGTTAGCTAGTGGCTAATCGTGGCCTAGCAGGGGCTGTGTTAGCTAGTGGCTAATCGTGGCCTAGCAGGGGCTGTGTTAGCTAGTGGCTAATCGTGGCCTAGCAGGGGCCGTGTTAGCTAGTGGCTAATCGTGGCCTAGCAGGGGCTGTGTTAGCTAGTGGCTAATCGTGGCCTAGCAGGGGCTGTGTTAGCTAGTGGCTAATCGTGGCCTAGCAGGGGCTGTGTTAGCTAGTGGCTAATCGTGGCCTAGCAGGGGCTGTGTTAGCTAGTGGCTAATTGTGGCCTAGCAGGGGCTGTGTTAGCTAGTGGCTAATCGTGGCCTAGCAGGGGCTGTGTTAGCTAGTGGCTAATCGTGGCCTAGCAGGGGCTGTGTTAGCTAGTGGCTAATCGTGGCCTAGCAGGGGCTGTGTTAGCTAGTGGCTAATCGTAGCAGGGGCTGTGTTAGCTAGTGGCTAATCGTGGCCTAGCAGGGGCTGTGTTAGCTAGTGGCTAATCGTGGCCTAGCAGGGGCTGTGTTAGCTAGTGGCTAATCGTGGCCTAGCAGGGGCTGTGTTAGCTAGTGGCTAATCGTGGCCTAGCAGGGGCTGTGTTAGCTAGTGGCTAATCGTGGCCTAGCAGGGGCTGTGTTAGCTAGTGGCTAATCGTGGCCTAGCAGGGGCTGTGTTAGCTAGTGGCTAATCGTGGCCTAGCAGGGGCTGTGTTAGCTAGTGGCTAATCGTGGCCTAGCAGGGGCTGTGTTAGCTAGTGGCTAATCGTGGCCTAGCAGGGGCTGTGTTAGCTAGTGGCTAATCGTGGCCTAGCAGGGGCTGTGTTAGCTAGTGGCTAATCGTGGCCTAGCAGGGGCTGTGTTAGCTAGTGGCTAATCGTGGCCTAGCAGGGGCTGTGTTAGCTAGTGGCTAATCGTGGCCTAGCAGGGGCTGTGTTAGCTAGTGGCTAATCGTGGCCTAGCAGGGGCTGTGTTAGCTAGTGGCTAATCGTGGCCTAGCAGGGGCTGTGTTTCATCTGCAGCCTAGTTGTCTCGTTCCATTAATATGGTCAGATATTGGACACAAGGGGTGTGACTGCCTAGTGGCTGGAAGGAACAATGGCCTTATCCAGCTGACTGACGACAAGTGGCCGTGCCCTTTGGATGAGAAACCCAAGCTCAACCTGTGTGTGTGTGTTTTTGTGTGTATGTGTGTGTATGTGTGTGTGTGTGTGTGTGTGCGAACGCTTCACTGACCAGGCACACTGTGCCATTTATTTAATCCAATCATCACCTAAACATCGAATTCCTCTTGAATAGGCCCACATTGCAAAGGATAAATGCTTCAAACTTGTGTGGTTTGTTTTTTTGTCATCTATGAGCAGAGCTATTGGCCCTTGAAGCTTTCATTTTCCAGAAAAATGAAACTGACTAGAAGTGGTTTCCAGGAGGGGGCACTGTTGCCCCACAACATGAAACCGCCCCTCACAGTAACCAAGAGAGTAAGTCATGTCCATACAATACAGTCCAGGGTTCAGGTGGCCTTCAGCAAACAAAGGAAAGGAGGGATGCTCAAAAACAAGGACAAAAATCACCAGAAGGGCTTACCAAGAAACACTTCCAGAAGGGCTTACCAAGAAACACTTCCAGAAGGGCTTACCAAGAAACACTTCCAGAAGGGCTTACCAAGAAACACTTCCAGAAGGGCTTACCAAGAAACACTTACAGAAGGGCTTACCAAGAAACACTTCCAGAAGGGCTTACCAAGAAACACTTACAGAAGGGCTTACCAAGAAACACTTCCAGAAGGGCTTACCAAGAAACACTTCCAGAAGGGCTTACCAAGAAACACTTCCAGAAGGGCTTACCAAGAAACACTTCCAGAAGGGCTTACCAAGAAACACTTCCAGAAGGGCTTACCAAGAAACTCTTCCAGAAGGGCTTACCAAGAAACACTTCCAGAAGCACTTACCAAGAAACACTTCCAGAAGGACTCATTTGATGTAAAAAAGAAGATGGAGCGCTCAACAAAAAAAGATTTGTTGAGATTGATTTCTTATTGGTCACTTTAATCCACCGTACAGGACGAGGACAGGGGACTGACATTTCGATGTCAAGCTGACGTCTTCCTCAGAGTGACCTGACGTCTTCCTCAGAGTGACCTGACGTCTTCCTCAGAGTGACCTGACGTCTTCCTCAGAGTGACCTGACGTCTTCCTCAGAGTGACCTGACGTCTTCCTCAGAGTGACCTGACGTCTTCCTCAGAGTGACCTGACCATTGCACATAGCACCTATTTATACCCTAGTGGCCCACTGAGACACAACTATATAAAACAACTATAACGATAATATGTTTCAAGGTAAATGGCAAATTATAGCACAAAATAAAAATATAAATAGTGTGTCTGGTTAATCAATAGGCCATGTCAACATATACATAGGTGATATTTGGTTGTCTGTGAATCTGGAGACACAGAGACCCAAAACATCAAGGCAACACCATTATAGAAATGAGGACAGTGAAACATCCACAGTGTCTAAGGAGTACTGCCCCTTAGGATCCACAGTGTCTAAGGAGTACTGCCCCTTAGGATCCACAGTGTCTAAGGAGTACTGCCCCTTAGGATCCACAGTGTCTAAGGAGTACTGCCCCTTAGGATCCACAGTGTCTAAGGAGTGCTGCCCCTTAGGATCCACAGTGTCTAAGGAGTGCTGCCCCTTAGGATCCACAGTGTCTAAGGAGTACTGCCCCTTAGGATCCACAGTGTCTAAGGAGTACTGCCCCTTAGGATCCACAGTGTCTAAGGAGTACTGCCCCTTAGGATCCACAGTGTCTAAGGAGTACTGCCCCTTAGGATCCACAGTGTCTAAGGAGTACTGCCCCTTAGGATCCACAGTGTCTAAGGAGTACTGCCCCTTAGGATCCACAGTGTCTAAGGAGTACTGCCCCTTAGGATCCACAGTGTCTAAGGAGTGCTGCCAGAATGCCTCTCTTTGTTTTAGTTTACGTACGATGTCACCTCCTCTTGGTGAAATCTGGACGTGTTCCATGGCTATAAAGCGCAGGCAGGAAGGTGAGCCACGGTTGGCTTCGATGCAGTGACGCGCAATAGAATAGTCCGCGTTTATACTTCTAATAGGAATACCTGGGATAGGATTAAGTAATCCTTCTACCCCCCCCCCCCCCCCTTACCCCAACCCACCCCCACAAAAAAAAATTATACAAAAAATTGTAAAGTGGTTATCCCACTGGCTATAAGGTGAATGCACCTATTTGTAAGTCGCTCTGGATAAGAGCGTCTGCTAAATGACGTAAATGTAAATGTAAAATGTAAATGTAATAGCAGCCTTGTGTTCCCCCAATGCAGAGTTCCAACGCTAGTTTAGTTTGACCAATAGAAGCAACCCTGCAGATGCATTTCAGCATGTATTTGATACTCGTGGTGCTACAATGAATGAAGCTTTGGGTTTTGTATTCTTTACCGGTGGTAAAAAAAAAACTTTAGTATTGGTCGTGTTGTCATAATGTACACAGTGCCCACACTTGTAACTGCCTTTTGGCAGGCCTGGGAGCCAAGTGTCACACTTCTTGGGCATGCTGTGCCGTAACGGAGTCGGCTAGATTGTGTGCACGGCGAAAAACAAATGCGAGGGGGGCAATGTTGTGAACTCTCGTAGATTTTGGATCACTTTTGAGGATGTTCCAGTGTTTCAATACAATGGATTTGACGCGACCGGCACATGGTGGAAAAAAACACAAACGTGGGGGTGTTTTGTCCTGGTTTCTACTAGTGCCAGTGCGTAGGCTTTGACGTTCATTCTCTCTAGCACGGGTATAGGCCTGTTCAATGACACCCTTATCATACCCGCATTGCAGGAACCTGGTGCCGCATGTCATTAGCTTTGCGCTCTAAATCCACGTCTGTACTACAGTTACGTCCGTGTGTATGTAGTAGGCATGTTCCGCTTAACATGTACCGGGTGGTTACTGTCTGCATGTTGAAGATGATACACTCCAACTTGTTTTCTTTATTTTTGTGGATTGTAAGATCCAAGAAGTCTATTTTCTCCCGACTTCTCTCTGCTGTGAATCTGAGATTTGGGGGTCAGATAAGTTAATATAAGAAATGAACTCAGAGAAGAGCGTCAGTACTGTTCCACACCAGTAGGATGTCGTCTATGTATCTTTTCCCAAAGGGCGACATTCTGGAAATATGGGGTTTTCTGGACATCATACATGAAGGTCTCCTCCCAGTGTCCCATAAATACATCTGCATAGTTAGGAGTGAATGCAGCTCCCATCGCTGTACCCTGAATCTGTTGGTAGAAACTGCCCGCATATTACAAGTCATTTGATGAGAGAGCTTTTTCCAGTGAGAGACAGAATAAAGTCAGACGGAGGTAAGATACCCTCCGGTCTAGTGTTGAGATGGCGAGAGAGCGCTCGTAGGCCTGCGTCCTGTAGACGGAGGTAAGATACCCTCCGGTCTAGTGTTGAGATGGCGAGAGAGCGCTCGTAGGCCTGCGTCCTGTAGACGGAGGTAAGATACCCTCCGGTCTAGTGTTGAGATGGCGAGAGAGCGCTCGTAGGCCTGCGTCCTGTAGACGGAGGTAAGATACCCTCCGGTCTAGTGATGAGATGGCGAGAGAGCGCTCGTAGGCCTGCGTCCTGTAGACGGAGGTAAGATACCCTCCGGTCTAGTGTTGAGATGGCGAGAGAGCGCTCGTAGGCCTGCGTCCTGTAGACGGAGGTAAGATACCCTCCGGTCTAGTGTTGAGATGGCGAGAGAGCGCTCGTAGGCCGGCGTCATGTAGACGGAGGTAAGATACCCTCCCGGTCTAGTGTTGAGATGGCGAGAGAGCGCTCGTAGGCCTGCGTCCTGTAGACGGAGGTAAGATACCCTCCGGTCTAGTGATGAGATGGCGAGAGAGCGCTCGTAGGCCTGCGTCCTGTAGACGGAGGTAAGATACCCTCCGGTCTAGTGTTGAGATGGCGAGAGAGCGCTCGTAGGCCTGCGTCCTGTAGACGGAGGTAAGATACCCTCCCGGTCTAGTGTTGAGATGGCGAGAGAGCGCTCGTAGGCCTGCGTCCTGTAGACGGAGGTAAGATACCCTCCGGTCTAGTGTTGAGATGGCGAGAGAGCGCTCGTAGGCCTGCGTCCTGTAGACGGAGGTAAGATACCCTCCGGTCTAGTGTTGAGATGGCGAGAGAGCGCTCGTAGGCCTGCGTCCTGTAGACGGAGGTAAGATACCCTCCGGTCTAGTGTTGAGATGGCGAGAGAGCGCTCGTAGGCCTGCGTCCTGTAGACGGAGGTAAGATACCCTCCCGGTCTAGTGTTGAGATGGCGAGAGAGCGCTCGTAGGCCTGCGTCCTGTAGACGGAGGTAAGATACCCTCCCGGTCTAGTGTTGAGATGGCGAGAGAGCGCTCGTAGGCCTGCGTCCTGTAGACGGAGGTAAGATACCCTCCGGTCTAGTGTTGAGATGGCGAGAGAGCGCTCGTAGGCCTGCGTCCTGTAGACGGAGGTAAGATACCCTCCGGTCTAGTGTTGAGATGGCGAGAGAGCGCTCGTAGGCCTGCGTCCTGTAGACGGAGGTAAGATACCCTCCGGTCTAGTGTTGAGATGGCGAGAGAGCGCTCGTAGGCCTGCGTCCTGTAGACGGAGGTAAGATACCCTCCGGTCTAGTGTTGAGATGGCGAGAGAGCGCTCGTAGGCCTGCGTCCTGTAGACGGAGGTAAGATACCCTCCCGGTCTAGTGTTGAGATGGCGAGAGAGCGCTCGTAGGCCTGCGTCCTGTAGACGGAGGTAAGATACCCTCCGGTCTAGTGTTGAGATGGCGAGAGAGCGCTCGTAGGCCTGCGTCCTGTAGACGGAGGTAAGATACCCTCCGGTCTAGTGTTGAGATGGCGAGAGAGCGCTCGTAGGCCTGCGTCCTGTAGACGGAGGTAAGATACCCTCCCGGTCTAGTGTTGAGATGGCGAGAGAGCGCTCGTAGGCCTGCGTCCTGTAGACGGAGGTAAGATACCCTCCGGTCTAGTGTTGAGATGGCGAGAGAGCGCTCGTAGGCCTGCGTCCTGTAGACGGAGGTAAGATACCCTCCGGTCTAGTGTTGAGATGGCGAGAGAGCGCTCGTAGGCCTGCGTCCTGTAGACGGAGGTAAGATACCCTCCGGTCTAGTGTTGAGATGGCGAGAGAGCGCTCGTAGGCCGGCGTCCTGTAGACGGAGGTAAGATACCCTCCGGTCTAGTGTTGAGATGGCGAGAGAGCGCTCGTAGGCCTGCGTCCTGTAGACGGAGGTAAGATACCCTCCGGTCTAGTGTTGAGATGGCGAGAGAGCGCTCGTAGGCCTGCGTCCTGTAGACGGAGGTAAGATACCCTCCGGTCTAGTGTTGAGATGGCGAGAGAGCGCTCGTAGGCCTGCGTCCTGTAGACGGAGGTAAGATACCCTCCGGTCTAGTGTTGAGATGGCGAGAGAGCGCTCGTAGGCCTGCGTCCTGTAGACGGAGGTAAGATACCCTCCGGTCTAGTGTTGAGATGGCGAGAGAGCGCTCGTAGGCCTGCGTCCTGTAGACGGAGGTAAGATACCCTCCGGTCTAGTGTTGAGATGGCAAGAAAGAGCGCTCGTAGGCCTGCGTCCTGTAGACGGAGGTAAGATACCCTCCGGTCTAGTGTTGAGATGGCGAGAGAGCGCTCGTAGGCCTGCGTCCTGTAGACGGAGGTAAGATACCCTCCGGTCTAGTGTTGAGATGGCGAGAGAGCGCTCGTAGGCCTGCGTCCTGTAGACGGAGGTAAGATACCCTCCGGTCTAGTGTTGAGATGGCGAGAGAGCGCTCGTAGGCCTGCGTCCTGTAGACGGAGGTAAGATACCCTCCGGTCTAGTGTTGAGATGGCGAGAGAGCGCTCGTAGGCCTGCGTCATGCGGAATATTAGTGTAGAGAGACTGAACGTCAAATGTAAACAAGATGCTTTCGGTGTCGCATGTATAGTTAATCGATGATTGTAAGCACATCCCCTGGTATCTCCTAAAAAGGCTGGCAATGCTGGCACACATTTAGAGTTGAAGAAATCAACATACTGAGATAGGGGTTCAACAGGGCTACTGTTGCCTGACACTATGGGACGGAAAGGAGGTTTATCCATAATAAACTGGACAGGCTGGTTGTGGCGTAACGAGAAAGTCCTTCTCCTTCTCCGTTTCCGTTATCCAACCCTCTGAAAGAGCGTTATCAATGAAGCCATCTATATCCTTTTGTATTCTGGAACGGATCCCTCACTACCATACTCTTCCCTGCTTCATACCACAATAGACCCTCCCTTAACAGCATTTTTTTATCACAATATCTGGATTGTCTTTCAGTTCCTTCAAAACATTTCGTTCCAACATTCCTGAGATTAGCTGCTTGTTTAGCGGTATTGCCAATTTAGCAAAATCATTTTCTATCAGCCTACTGTAGGTGAGAACAGTCAAATTCGTCTAGTCTTATCTAACGGGTTCTAGTCTGTTATCTAATGGGCTCTAGTCTGTTATCTAATGGGTTCTAGTCTTACCTAATGGGCTCTAGTCTTATCTAATGGGCTCTAGTCTTATCTAATGGGCTCTAGTCTTATCTAATGGGCTCTAGTCTTATCTAATGGGCTCTAGTCTTATCTAACGGGTTCTAGTCTGTTATCTAATGGGCTCTAGTCTGTTATCTAATGGGCTCTAGTCTGTTATCTAACGGGTTCTAGTCTGTTATCTAACGGGCTCTAGTCTGTTATCTAACGGGCTCTAGTCTGTTATCTAAGGGGCTCTAGTCTGTTATCTAACGGGCTCTAGTCTGTTATCTAACGGGCTCTAGTCTGTTATCTAACGGGCTCTAGTCTGTTATCTAATGGACTCTAGTCTGTTATCTAATGGACTCTAGTCTTATCTAATGGGCTCTAGTCTGTTATCTAATGGGTTCTAGTCTGTTATCTAATGGGTTCTAGTCTGTTATCTAACGGGCTCTAGTCTGTTATCTAATGGGCTCTAGTCTGTTATCTAATGGACTCTAGTCTGTTATCTAACGGG